TCTTTTTTTTTTTTTTTTTTTACGTTAGTAACCAATGTCAGTTGTAGATCTAGAAGAAACTAAAAATTTAACTAGATAATCCCCACATACGGCGTCAAATTGTTTGACCAAAAAGTATAATTTTTGGCTAAAACTATTATATTTATGTAATAATGGGTTAAACCTAGTTAATGATAATATCTCTAGATGCGAGTTTTGAAAGCGTGTGTGAGGTGGAACAGATCCAGCAAGGGGGCTGACAATAACAAGCATTAAATAGTCATAAAAAATAAGCAATAATGGAAGAAAGGCTGATAATAAATAGTAATAAATGGCATTTGAGTAAATAGGAGGAGTGATTCACCCAATAAATAATGATCTAGGTGATTATTCCTCATGACAATGATGAGTAATACACAGATCTTAGAACATTCAAATTTTTATCGGATCTGATGGAAAAGTGCAGGATAATGTAAACAAGAATCTTGATAAAAGGGTGTTCTATGTATCTTTTCAAGAGGGAGAAAATATTTTGTAAAGTCTACTCTTATCACAATGAATATCACATGCCTCTATTCATTATCTTTTTTTCTATTTATATGGGACATACCCCCAATAAACTCTAATAGTACAGGTACAGAGAATATCCAATAAAATATTCTCTTTAATATCCAACCCTAATAAACTAGCTGTTACAGTTCTGTTTACGATGCTTGACATCGACCATCTTCCGCATCTCGACCACAGACTTTGTCATCTCCTGGTCGACTTCGGCCGACTCCTTTCTCGATACTGCTTAATCCCAAGTAATGAGGCAGATTTCAACTCATACAATTGTAAAGAGCATCTTAAACTCCTACTACTATTTTTTAGTTCATGAAAACATAACCAAAATTTACGGTTGTATTCTAATGAACTAACGACTTGTTTGGATGGTTGTTACATGTTGTATTGTATCGTATTGTTACTTTAAATATAATGTTTGTTTTGATTGTTACTTAAATTTTATTGTATTGTATCGTTTAAATCCGTCGGTATGTAACGACGAAAAGTATCACTTTATGGAACGACCAATTTAGTGTAGTCGCGTCGTTTCCTTATTTTTCCTCTCATCTTGCCCTTTTTCATTATTAAATAATTATATTTTTTCATTTACCCAACCTGTTTATATAACGTTTTTTTTATAATATTGCAAGTTTATTCTTCATACTCTTGATGCATGACATCATGAAACGACAACAAACGATATAATATATCCAAACATTGTATACATCAAAACGATACAATACAATATAATACAATATTATACGATACATTATGAAACGATACATAACAACCATCCAAATAAATTGTAAAAGTAATTACATATTTCCATAACTGATTAGTACTCGTCTACCCGGTCCATTTTCTGCTGCTATTAACTCAACTTGAGGAACATTGCTCTTGAGAATTAGTCCATTTATTGAACTGATTTACTGGGGCCCATTTGTCCTGGGAAAATTTTCACTTTTTTCGTAATGAGTGTTTGGCCATGAAAATTTTAAATTTCACTTGAGAATTTTGAAATTTTGAAAAACTCCTTCAAAATTTTCGCTCCAAATCACTCATAAAAATTCAAAAACAGCTCCAAATTATATTACGTTCAAACACAACTTTAATTTTCAAATATCATTTTTACTTAAAATTTTTTTTTTACTTTTTTCCGGAATTTCACAATTCTTATGTCCAAACGTCCACTAAGTGTCAATACCGAGTCATAGTCGGTATGTTGACTTGAAAAAAAGCTATAATACACAGAAAAATATAATGTTTTTAAACACGTGGACTTATAATTGACAAATAAAGGAGAACCTGTTAAACAACTGCTTTTAGAAGAACCAAATTTTTTTTCTCTTTTTTCTCTTTTTGTTTTTTTACATCCAACAATGTTCTTTTTTTTTTTTTTTTTTTTTTTTTTTTTTTTTTTTTTTTTTTGATGTTTCACATCCATCAATGTTCTTAAAATGTGTGTCAAAATCAGTCAACTGTTTCAACTATTGTTTGCTATTTCATCACCACCTCATGTACAGAATCTGTTAGCCATCCAAACTACTGAGACAATGGAGTTTCCCATAGAAAAGTTTGTTCATGAACACAAGGGGCAAATATCAACTATCTTCGTCCACTGTGAGCTAACTTTTGTGCGTGGAATACGTCAGGTTAAGTTCCACCCTCACTGACTGAACGGGTTGCACTCTTGGACAGTAGTAGATCTTTCAAATCTTTGTAAGTTTTGAGCTCCTCAAGAGCATCTGATGCCTTTCTATTGATGAAAAATCCAGATGCAGTACCAAGTTCTCCCTCCACTTCAGTCTTTACGCTATGTGAGGTATAGCAGCTAGAATCTTGGCGCAAAGGAGGAGCAGTTCTCAGCATGTGAACAAGGGCACCTACAGCGGCATCTTGGGATTTTCTGGTTGTTGCAGATGCTTGAGAAGAGACTTCTGAACCTTTTCTCCCATCAAGGTTCTCACTGCACAACAGATTAAATAACAGTTGAGTTGAAAATCTAATGGCACGATAGCATTGAAGACACAAAAACTATGACAAACACAGTGGCTGCTGTCTGTCGGCAATTACTGAAAAGTTCATTTTTATTCAATATCAGGACCCAGAGATATAACGCGCATAATAAGTGTTTAAAACCAATCACATTCAAAATGGATCTCAAGCCCTGCCAATCCAGAAGGTGAATTGTCAATTCCATTCCATCCAACACACACCAACCAATTCTAATGCAGAAAACTTCATATGTGTACTCAGAGCTGGTTTTGCATATGCGGCCTTCCACTCTCTAAATCCTACGAGTTTTAAATTGTATTTAACTCCTACAAGCATAAAATGTGTATTCTTCTCGTCATATGAAGTATTAAATGTGTGGTTCTTGGTTCCCTGGTGGACAACCCACTCCCAAATCTGAACCTCTGACCAAACACATATAAACAAGAAAAAAAACAATTGAAAACAGAGAACAATTGAAAAGATGATGAAGAGCAAAGCAAGTTGCGCAAAAGAAAATTAAGAACTTGGAATAAAGACGGTTAAACCGATTGGAAAGACTCGTGTAATCTCAAAGTCCAGTATATCAAAATACCACAAGTTGTGGAAGCCATTCATCAGAGAAAAGGTATAATATTCAAGGCAACTATTAGGATAAACCAGCAAATATCTAGGTTCACACAATATGCCTGCTCCAACTTGCTTGTTGGCGGGGCTGTTAGGATAAACTAATTAGATAGAACATTTTGTCAATTAGGAAGATCAGGGAATATTGTGTATATAAATTAGGATCAATTAGGGAAGTTCCATGCCTATGCTTAAACGGCCTATAATTAAGCACCCATCCCCATTTTAGAACATGCGTGCATTATTAAACTCCCAAGAGCTCATCGGTACAATCAAACTGCGCATTCTCAAGATCTCTTCTTCTTTTGAGATGACTAAGCACCACTTTCTCATCTTGGGGAGGACAATTATTACAACGATGCTGAGCAAAATTTTGATGGACCTGAATCTCCTTTAACTTGCTCACAAATGAAGAGCTTCTGACCTTGGATTTTCCATCAGCTTATTCATAAATCCTTTATACAGTAAAGAGGAGAAGATTCTTGGACATTTTCCCTAAATCTACCTGCATTTAAAAAATTAAAGGCAAAAAGTAACTCCAATAATTATTTTATTTTTTGTTATGATGGTGGTGTCCAAGCCACATTGCGCGTATCTCGACTGTTTCGCCAGGTACCTGCTACCTCCCACCAACACAGGTACCTGGAAGAAATGCTCAACTTTACCAAGGCCTAGGCAAACGGGAAGAAATCACCTAGAGTGTTTTGCCTCTGTCGGGATTTGAACCTGAGACCTCATGGTTCTCTTCAAGAAACTTTGCTACACATGTCTCCCTTGAGCTATGACAGCTAGGTGGACCCTTCAACATATAAATCTTATTTTTCCCAATTCAGTTACATCAAATGCTCAACTTTATGTCTTACCAGCAGCCAATATCTAAACAATGTCCAACCTGTTAACAATAGCTACAAAGCCAATGCATTGGCTCCGGGAGAGGTAATCATTAAAACACAGATGCACTTTCCACAAGGCTGCAAGAGGAACTTTGTGCAATATGAATGTAAAGATTTTCAGTTACCAAGAAGAATACTCCAAAAATACAAAAGAAGAGCAGCAAAGTTACCTGACTTGCGAATCGGAAGTATCGACATCATCAACAATAAAAGGACAGGAAAAATCAAAGACATCCAAGTCATCTTGAAAAGACAGTCTGCTAGAACTTCTAGAAAATATACGTGGCGAACCACTTGAAGATAGCAAGCCCGAGAACCGCCCTGAATCATCTCTAGCATCTCTAGAAATCTGAAAAGGAAGATTACAAACAAAAGTTGGCAGGATGCTGAAGTAGTAAGTACAATGTTTGGAACAGAAGTATGAACAACCAAGTGCAAAAACACACCTAAAATCAGGAAAAACAGCTATTTCCCCAGACTAGAAATTCCTCACCTTTTGTCCAGGACTCATAGTGCTGATAATAGACTCTAGAGTCCTTAGTGGATCCATTTTCCGGAATGACCTGATTCCAGAAGGGGAATCATTGGATGATGAATCCTGCTTTGTGCTTCTGGGAGACATTGGAGGGAGAGAATGCCTGTTAGGATCAGACAAATTAGGAGATAGGTATCTGGAACTTGTACCCATCATTGGATGAGGGATACTGACAGGGCCAGTTCCTGAACGCATTCGAGTCTGCCCAGGATTTGCTCCTGACATATATGTGGGTGGAGATGGGGATGGAGATGATGAAAATGGAGGTGAAAGCTGGTACTCATCAAAGCTCGTCGCTTTGTGGTGTATAGGCAATCTGTTGTTCGGTGAAACCCTCTGCCCATATACATCACCAGGCGAAGATGAAAGCTCATGTGGTGTGCGGTACAAAGGTGGAGATCCTACATATGGCTGGGTCCGAGGTAAAGAAGGTGACATGAGGAAACCACTTGTCCAACTGTGCGGCCGCTGGAAAGGTGATGAAGAAGATGACTGTGCCCCTCTCGACGGAAATGATGTAGGGCGGACATCCTTATCAGATGAAGAAGAAGGAAATGATCTCATTGGGTCAGTAAGAGGACTGCCTACATAATCTGCGATGATCTCAGGCGGAAAGGATGCTGCAATCTCCAGGTTAAAGTCTGACAGATTTTCACGATATGACACAGATATAGAAAAACGGCCCTGCTGGGCATCAACTGGAGTAAAAGTATAATGCTTCATCAACTCCTCCTCTGCCCTGGAGAATGGAGCACTAAATGAAGAGACCTTGTAAATGATATCAAAGTCACAACTCTGAGTTGATGAAAGTTTCCTGAAGGCCTTGAATGCAGGAAGGAGCCTCATCATTGAATATAGGGAGCGGAGCAGTATAATTGATTTCTTGTATGTTTTCTTGTAAGAAGATTCACCAACTTGAGGAACCATTGTCCTCAGATACTCATATTGTACAACCCACCTCTCTATGATGGTTTCTGTATACGCCCCTGCGAATGCTGTACCTGAACTATGCTCTGACAAAGAACTAGGTTTCTCTTGAACAAGTATTATGTCTATTATCATTGGTTCCATCAAATTTCTGTGCCAAAAATTTAAACTTTCAAGAACAGCAGGGCGATCTCCCAACACCAAATTGAACCACTTGTCACTCTTTTTCACCTCTCCACTACGACCATAAGGTCGGATCGAAGGAACTCTACAGTCCAAAACAATATGCAAGGTTTTAAGAAGAAATTGAGCAAGTATCTGTTCAAACCTTCCATATTCACCCTGTGGATTATTCTGAAAATCCATTTTATGCACCCCAAACAAATATCAGCTATATCTTCTCTCAACCATAGGCAACTTCAGACGGCACATGAAAACTCTTTAGAATGCATAAACGAGAGCAATCATCTGCTAAAGATAAGCTCTTCCGCTTGCGGCACTATATGGGTGCATATAAACCTGGCATACATGTACAATTTTCAAACAACATACCCAATAAAGATGGAAATACGGCAAGTTATGCAAATACCTATGCCTAAAACACTAGGTGATTTCTTTGTACAGAATTATCCAGTATCTGTGCTGGTGGAATAGTTGAGATGAGCACAAGCAGCCTCGGACATCACCGTAAAAGGAAATGTACATCATAAGTTATTCTACAGCTTCATTACCATAGGACATAATATGCAGGAGCGTAACAATAAGACAAAGACTTTAACAGAAAAAATCCATATCCAAGAAGACAACTACTTGTGCCCTTGGATCACAACAGAAAAGAATAAAAGAAAATGAAAAATCAAGGACCTGAACGAGTATTAAATAGATAATATAGACTAACAGCAGAATAACAGTTTAGGTGCAGATCTTAACACAGGCATTAACATAAGTAAAAAAAGAAAGAAAATGATTGATAAATAGTAAGACTAAAATTCAAAGGACTGCTAATAGGAATAAATAAGCGATTGAACTGAATTGGGTAGGAAATTGACAAATGAGAATTGCGTAGATAGAAGAACAAATGAAGTTGGAGATAATAAACCCAAAGATTAAACTTACTTGAAAGATCAAAATTCAAAATATAGGGATTAGCAACGAAGAGAGGAAAACTCAGACTTTGAAGCAAGCGGAGGAGAGAGAGAGAGAGAGAGATTGCGTAGAGCGCCGAGACTGGACGGCTTTAGAGAGAGAAAAAGTGACTGTACATATCAGTACTATATTCAAGTTTAGTTTTTTCTCTTTCTTTTTTGCATTATCATAGAAAGTTATTTTCTGATCAAGTTTTTGAAATTTTAATTTTATATGGTGATTGTGTAAACTATTTGTATACAATTAATCACTGATCAGCTGCAAGAAAGTGTTCTTGCTATATACAAGTAAAAATTGTAGAAAAATGTAAATACTTTATTATAATTTGCTAAATTAAAATTATGAACATGTAGGATTTAAATTGTTTTGACCGGATGGCTTCAATTTAAAAGGTTAAAAATTGAGCATTAGAGGTTGCTTTGAAAATCAAACTAATCCTCTAACTTTGAACAATAGTCATTCTCATCCTCCTATCCTATGTAATGTCTATTTTATTCTTGATATTTTTGTATGCGCTTTATCGATAATTTAAATGATATTATATCTTCATTTAAGTTTATTGATAATATAAATAGAATAATCATATTATAAATTTATTACAAAATTCATCGCTATTTTTTATGATTATTATTTAATATACATATATTAAGTATATAATGTATATATGTGTGTGAGAGAGAGGGAGAATTTAAGTTTTATTTTTTCTCTTGTTCTCCATTGTGTATATAGAATCTTGAGTTGTAATTATATTAATAGAATTTTTTCTAAATTATAAAATAAAATTCATGTAAAGTATAAATAAATAACTTTTAGAACTTTTTTTATAAAATCTATCTCTATTTTTACCCTTTTTTATTACATGTATTGCATAATTTATAAAGTTGTGACTTTCTTTTATTCTCAATTTTGTAAATAGATTGAGTTTTGATACTATTAATAAAATTATTGATATGGAAAAATTATTTATTGTAATTCTGTTTATTTTTCTCATTTTCTCATTATTGAATATCGTTAACTTACATGCTTAATTATTATCTTTCACTCTTTTTTGTTTCAAAAATAATATTTTTTTTAACTATAGGTAAGTCTGTAACATAGGTTAAAACAAAAAATATAAAAAAAGAAGACAAAAGTTATAGAGGGTAAAACATGTATTTTAAAAAGTCAACTTTAATATGAGGATGAGAATGACTATTGCTCACAGTTGGAGGATGAGTTTGATTTTAAAAGCAAATTTGGGAATGTAAATAATTTTTACTTGTGATAAATGATAATATTTGATAAGCTTTTTCATATCTTCAGATACAACCTATAAAGGTTTCCCCATTTTTTGTACACTAGTCTTAGGGTACACGCGTTGTGCGCGTATCCCAATATTAATGAGCACTAAGATTTTCTAAAATAATACATAAATGTTAAAAATATATACTTGAATTATAAAATAAAAATGAAAAAAAATGTGTAAGTTTGTGAAAGTGAAGAATGTTGATCATATTCAGTTAAATGGATAAAAATCTTGTGTGTCTCTCTAGTACAAATATTTTCTTTGTCATGAAACTAGAAACTCATATTTATTAATTATCTTTAAAATAGTCTGATTTACAAGTGGTAATTGAAAAATAGTCACAGTTTCAAAAGTAATCAAAATTTAGTCACTTTTCATGTAAAGATAAATCTGAATGAAAACACTGTTCAAAATCCGGAAAATATTCCAACATAATATACTAGAGTTCGAATTTTTTACATGTGAATTTCCATCATAATATATTGGAGTTCTAGCATAATATACTGGTCCAACATAATATACAGGAAGTTCATACACATGTGCTCCAATCTCCAATATATTATGCTGAAACTCTTCACGTGCTTGAGTTCCAGTATAATATGCTGAAAGTTCATACACGGGTGTATCAATCTCCAGTATATTATGTTGGAACTTTTCGTGTTGCAGCAAATAGTGGCTATTTTTCAATGACTTTGCAAATGCTGGCTATTTTTTAATTATCAGTCCAAAAACTGGCTAGCCCGTACTATTTTTACAATAAATTACTGCACTCTTTAGTTGTATCTGAAGATAATTAAGAGCAAGTTGAGCCCATATATTTGTAATGATTTTTCGATAAAACATCTATTTACTTTGGCTTACTATATTTTCGGAAGGAATTATAGTTATGTCACATAATTCATTTAATGAATGATTTTATATAATTAAGAAAAATACTTAGATTTTAAAATTCTACTCTCTCTATCTCAATTTACGTGTCATACTTCCCTTTCTAATATGTCCCACCATAATGAATGTCATACTTCCTTATTTAAAAATAATTTAATTTTAATTTTTCTAATTTACTCTTAAGAAGATAACTTATAGTTGCATAAACGTCTTATTAAAAATCTTTTTTCTTTCTTAAACTTTGTGCTCAATTAAACACCGCCAATAAGTTAGGCGAGAAAGAGTAAATATTAGTGTTTCTTACAAATAAAGAAAGATTTAATAAGCAAAAATTTTAGTTGATTTTAAAGTCCTAAAATATTAAAAAATAATAAAATAATAATTTTGTTCAAGGTAAAATATATGTTTAAAAGATATAAAAATTGATCAAATATATTTAGTGTTGAAGTTTCATTAAAAAAAATTACAAAATTTTAATTGTTACTCTTTAAAAATAAATTTTACACTGGATAAAATTGTATCAATATCCTAAAGAATAATATATAAGGTATTATAATTATATTAATTAATTTTAAAATATTAAATATTAGGACTTCTTGCCTTGTTCAAATAAGGAAAATTTATATAGAAATATGTTGGAAGATTTCCTTAAAACTAACTTAAATTTCTTATTAATTACATTACAAATTTTTGCTATTAATTTCAATATATAAATTAGAGTATCTTATATACCCTTCATTTATCCAGTATTCTAATTGAGCTTTTGATTTAATACAAGTATATATTACAACACGTAAAAAACTTAAAGTATATTGTAGTATTTGTTATTACTACAAACTATTAAAGTATTATTTTCTTCTTTTTGGAAAACAGGAAATATTACATAATATTAAGTGTCATTACAAAAGGAGGTCCTCATTGGACTAGGTTCTAAAGTTCATGGAGAACTACAAACTATATTATTTTCAAATATAGGCATATCTTTTGTAAACTTACTTAAAGATATTTTCTTACTAATGTGCCTATAAATTTGGTTTAGATTTTTTTAGTCAACAACAACAACAACAACAACAACAAACTCAGTAGTTTCCCACAAGTGGGGTTCGGGGAGGATAAGATATACGCAGCCTTACCCCTACCTCTGGAAGGACAGAGAGGTTGTTTCATATAGACCATCGGCTACGACTGAAAAAGAAAAGGTAATTGCAACAAGTAGGAATAACAACAAGATGAAATAAGATTGAATCTAAGAATACAGTCAAACTCTATGTAGTAATAGCCATCTATGGATAAAAGATATCATACTAACACTAATGCTAGCGAACTGAGTAAGACAAAGAAAAATGCTCGACTACCTACGAACCTTCTACCTTAATCTTTGACCTCCACACCCTCCTGTCTAGGGCTATGTCCTCAGTCAGCTCTAGTTGCGCCATGTCCCGCCTAATAACCTCTCCCAAGACTTCTTAGGCCTACCTCTACCCCTCTGCTACCCACTGAGGCTAACCGCTTGCACCTTTTAATTGAGGCTTCTATACTTCTCCTCTTAACATACTCGAACCATCTCAACCTCGCCTCCTACATCTTATCCTCCACATGGGCCTCTCCAACATTTTCCCGAATAACTTCATTCCTAATCTTATCCAACCGGGTATGCCCACTCATCCACCTCAACATCCTCATCTCATCTACTTTTAGCTTCTGGTTATGAGAGTTCTTGACCGGCCAACACTCTGCTCCATACAACATTATCGGTCTAACTACAACCTTGTAGAACTTACCTTTAAGTCTCAGTGGCATATTCTTATCATACAAGACACCGAAAGCGAGCCTCTACTTCATTCATCCTTCTCCGATACGATGCGTGACATCTTCATCAATCTCCTTGTTACCTTGTATTATAGATCCAAGATACTTAAAACTACCTCTCTTAGGGATGACTTGCGTATCAAGCCTCACCTCTATATCCCCTTCATGGGTACCATTGCTGAACTTACACTCCTAGTATTTTGTCTTGGTCCTGCTCAACTTGAAACCCTTAGACTTTAGGATCTACCTCCAAACCTCCAGTCTCTCGTTAATACCACCCCGCGTCTCGTCAATTAAAACTATGTCATTAGCAAATAACATACACCATGGCACCTCACCTTGAATATGTCTTGTCAATGCGTCCATCACCAAGGAAAATAAGAATAGACTAAGAGCTTATCCCTGATGCAACCCCATAATAACCGAAAAGTGTTCCGAGTCTTCTTCCGCTGCCCTAACCCGAGTCTTAGCTTCATCATAAATGTTCTTAATCACCCTAATGTAGGCTAATGGGACCCCTTTAGCCTCCAAGCATCACCAGAGCACCTCTCTCGGGACTTTGTCATAAGCTTTCTCTAGGTTAATGAACACCATGTGCAATTCCTTCTTCATCTCCCTATACCGCTCCACCGATCTTCTCATAATGTGAATGGCTTCCATAGTAGAACGCCACGGCATGAAACCGAACTGGTTCTCACAAATGGACACACTGGTCCTCACCCTCACTTCAACCACCCTCTCCCAAACTTTCATAGTATGGCTTAACAGTTTAATCCCCCTATAATTATTGCAACTTTGGATATCGCCCTTATTTTTATATAGAGGAAACATCGTACTCCACCTCCATTCATTAGACATCTTTTTCGTCCTAAAAATGACATTGAACAGCCTAGTGAGCCACTCCAAACTTGCCTTACCCGCATTCTTCCAAAATTCCACAGGTATTTCATATGGCCTGGTAGCTTTACCCTTGTGCATCTTACGCATAGCCCCCTCGACCTACTTTACTCTTATACCCAAAATCCCGGCACATCTCGGAGTGCTCCCAGTCGCCCAACAAAATGTCCCTATCACCCTCTTCGTTCAGGAGTTGATGGAAATATGTTTGTCATCTTCGTCTAATCTAAGCCCCTTCTATCAAAACTCTACCTTCCTCATCTTTGGTACACTTAACTTGATCCAGATCATGGGCCTTCCTCTCTCTCACCTTGGCTAGCCTGTATAGTTTCATATGTGTCCTGAGACCTATAATTTAAACCCATCAGCATCTCGAGCCTTCGAACCCACCCATCTAGTCTCCTGGACACAAGCTATGTTGATCTTCCTCTTCTAGAGGATCTTTGATAACTCTATAGATTTCCCTGTCAAAGTTCCTATGTTCCAGGACCCTAAGTTCTTCATACAAATGCCCAAATGCCGCAGTCTTAGCCGCAATAACCGCTAACTTCGCCTCCTTCTTAGCCCTCCTATACCCCTCCATGTTCATCCTCTTCGCCTCCTCATCCATGCTCTCTATAAGCGTCAAGTACGCCGCTTGCTTGGCTTCCACTTTATCTTGTACCTCCTCACTCCACCACCAGTCACCTTTGTGGCCGCCAAAGAAACCCTTCGAGACCCCTAACACTTCTCTCGCAACTACTCTAATACACTTCGCTGTCGTGGTCCACATACAGCCCGCGTCCCTATTGCTCTTCCATGCTCCCACAGCCAACAACTTCCCCCTAACTCATGTGCTTTATCACTAGTCAAAGCACCCCTCCTGATACTGGGTTGACCATACACGACCCTCTTCATCCTCTTCCTCACGATCTCTTAGTCCATCACCAATAATCTATACTGAGTCATGATATTCTCGCTTGGTATAACCTTGCAATCCATGCACAGACTCCTATTGCACTTCTGGAGGAGTAGATAATCAATTTGAGTCTTGGACAACAAACTCCGGAATGTAACCAAGTGCTTCTCCCTTTTTTGTAAAACACGAGTTGGCAATCACCAAATCAAAGGCTTTAGCATAGTCCAATAACGAAGTACCTCCTCCGTTCCTAACTCCAAAGCCAAAGCCGCTATGTACGCCGTCATACCCCCCAGATGTCGCCCTAATGTGACCATTGAAATCCCCTCCTATGAATAACTTCTCGGTGAGAGGAATGCCATGTACCAACCTGTCAAATTCTTCCCAGAAGCGCCTCTTAATTTCCTCGTCCAAACCCACTTAATGCGCGTAGCACTAATCATATTTAAAGTAGACCCTCCCACAACCAGCTTAATAGCCATCAGCATGTCGTTCACCCTCCTAACTTCTATCACTAGCTCCGTAAGATCCCTGTCAACTAAGATACCTACCCCATTCTTATCCCTCTCGCGTCCTGAGACCCACAATTTAAACCCATCAGCATCTCGAGCCTTCAAACCCACACATCTAGTCTCCTGGACACAAGCTATGTTGATCTTCCTCTTCTGGAGGATCTTCGCTAACTCTATAGACTTCCCTGTCAAATTTTCTATGTTCCAGGACCCCACTCTTAGCCTAGAGACTCCCTTGCCCCCTTTGTCCCCCCTCCCCACCCCATCTGAGGACATGAACTTATTCCACCATCACTCACCCCAACCACTATAATATACTGAAAATTACGCGAGAATTGTCGCTAAAACAGACAAAGGATTAAAATAAAGGAGGCAGGTCTAACACTTACTACTCTAACCACTAGAAATGCGTACAGATAAGACAAACAGACAAGCAAGAATTAAACTAGTGATAACAATAGATATCTAAAAGAAGGCTAACAGAACATTTACTAAGAAATAAAATTACAGTCTTTAAATCCCTAAACAGTTACTAGCAATAAAAATATCCAAGAGATGCACTAAATAATTATATTCAATCAAGAATTAGGCTTAAACTAACGTAAACTAATTAGATACTAACAAGGGAAGACAGAGATATTAAATAAAGAACAGGAGGTACCAACTCCCGATTAGTGTGAAACCTGGGTGAATCATCGTAAATGTCAAGGTCGCGCTGTCGTAGTAATCTTATTCAATTTTTCGCTGCCNCAAAGGGGAAAAAAGGGGAGGAAGAACAGAGGTATGCGAAGAAAAACCCAAATAACAATTCACTAAAAAGATTGCAACTTTAAATTTAGAAGGAAAATGTCACGACCCAAAATCCACTAAAGGTCGTGATGGTGCCTAACGCTGCCGTCAAGCAAGCCAGCGGTGATTGATCAACTTAATTACTCATTTTAGTATTTTGAAATCATAATTTTTATTAATTAAATAGTATGAAATTGAATTTACAGAGTAAATGATAATATTTACACGAACTACAATAATGAACAACCAGTAGGAACCCCCAAAACCCGGTATCACAAGTGCATGAGTATTTTCTAAGTAGTACAATAATAATACAACATCTGTCCAGAATGTAAATAAGACAGGATAAAATAAATAATACGATGGAGACTTAGTGGACTGTGATGCATAGCCTGGATTGTAGCTCACATAAAGTCTCCTCAACAGATGCGCCAAATGAACATGTCAGATCCTACACATTTAGTGCAGAAGTGCTATATGAGTACGTAAATCAACGCGCACCCAGTAAGTATCTAGCCTAACCTTGTAGAAGTAGTGATGATGGGTCGACATCGACACTTACTATAGGTCCAATAAAATAATATAATAATTCATAATAGATATGAAGTGCACAATGATAGTGGGGTAAATCTGTAAATTTTATAATCTTCTAAATATTTCTTTTAAAGTATAAATTTCCCGATCTTGTATTATACCTTAATAGCTCAAAAAATGCCAAGTGTCAAGTTCAAATGAATAAGGAATACCATAAAAATGTTGGGCATCAGTGGAAGGTTTATCTCGTGAATATTCGAACTACTAGCGATATAACACACGATTCTGCCGATGTCGTTCGACCCGATCCAGAATAATGTATACACTGCCGAGGGTCGAGCGGCACGAACCATAGATGCATCTATTATACTGCCGAGGCATTCGTCCCTCTCCACAAGAAAGGAAAGAAGCTACCGAATTACGAGACACATGCTTACTATACAGTACATGAGTCCAAACAATTCAAATATTACATGATAAGGTCCTAAGTCTATCCGGACATAAACATGATTTAGCAATGTACGAACTCTCATCACCTCGTGCGTACGTAGCACCCACAACTAGTTACACATAATAATCATTATCACCTAGGGGTAGTTTCCTCCTCACAAGGTTAGACAGGAGACTTACCTCACTCTGAAGTTCCAAAACCGGCTCCAACGCCTCTCTAACTCTTCAATTCAAGCCAAACGATCCGAAACTAGTCAAACAATGTGCAAATCAATCAAAATATACTCCAATGCTTATAATTAATCAATTCCTAACAATTCCCAACTCCGCTCTAAAAGTCAATAAAGTTAACCCCCGGACCCACGTGCCCGATTCCAAAAATATTCTATAACGACCCAAATGGTCGTTTTGAGTATTACAGCCCCGTTCCCCCATTTGCTGCTCAATATATGTCTTACAGTTGATTTATGACTTATCGGGTTAGTTGGTTCGGGTCCGAAAAGATTTCGGAGTAAAATAAAATACTTAGTCTCATAATTAAAAACTTTAAGTTGGAAAAGTTGACCGGATATTCACTTATGTGTAAACGACCTTGGAATTGAATTGTGATGATTTCAATAGCTCCGTATGGTGATTTTGGAGTTAGAAGCGTGTCCGGAAAATTATTTGGAGGTCCGTAGTGGAATTAGGCTTAAAATGGCGAAAGTTGAATTTTTGAAAAGTTTGATCGGGGAGTTGACTTTTTGATATCGGGGTCGGAATCCGATTCTGAAAATTTGAATACCTCTATTATGTCATTTATTACTTGTGTGCAAAATTTGAGGTCAATGGGACGTGATTTGATATGTTCCGGCGTCGTTTGTAGAAACTTGAAATTTCAAAGTTCATTAGGCTTGAATTGGGGTATGATTCATGGTTTTAGCATTGTTAAGGTGATTTGAAGGTTCGACTAAGTTCGTATGATGTTGTAGGACTTGGTGGTATATTTGGTTGAGATCCCGGGGGTCTCGGGTGAGTTTCGGATGGTTAACGGATCAATTTCAAACTTCGGAGCAAAAGCTGAAGGTTCTACCATCTGATGCAATCGCACCTGCCGAAAATTCCATCACAGGTGTGAGCTCGCAGAAGCGAGCTTGGCAAGCGCAGATACGGGCAGAGGGTTGTGAGACAGTGGTCATAGGTTCGAGAAAAATTTCGCACCTGCGTGAGCACAGATGCGGAAGGATGCGTGCAGAAGCGACTTGCTCAGAAACGCACATAGGCGCACAGATACGAGCAAAGGCGCAGATGTAGGGGCTTTTTCCACACATGCGGTTGGCACAAAAGCGGCCAAGTTGCCATAGGTGCGAAAACCCTTGGGCAGAACAAAAACAAAGGGGTTCCGAGCTTTTTTCATTTTTGGGCATTTCAAGCTCGGGTTGGGCGATTTTTGAGCAAGGTTTTTCACGAAAAAACTTGAGGTAAGTCTCTTGTGATCATTTCTACTCCTTAATATTGAATTATCATCGAATAATCTGACTAGATTACATGTTTTTGAGGTGTAAATCGGGGATTTGAAAATAATATTTAAAGATTTGGAGGTCGAGTTGAGGTCGGATTTTGGTAAAATTAGTATAGGTTGACTCATGGTGGAATGGGCTTTCGAATTTTGTAACTTTTGTCGGGTTTCGAGACGTGGGCTCCAAAAGCAATTTTTGAGTGTAATTTCGGATTTTGTGGAAAAAATTAGTATTTTGATATGGAATAAATTTTTTTAATTTGGGTGGACTAGATCAAATTTATTGTGGCTAGATTCGAGCCGTTCAGGAGTTGATACAAGCAGAATGGGATTTCTGGAGCATTGATTAGATTGCTCGGCATTGGATTCATCTTGTTCGAGGTAAGTAACTCTTCTAATCTTGGAGCTGAGGGTATGAACCCTGAATATATGTATTATGTGAATTGTTGGGAGGTGACGGGCGTGTGGGCGTGCACCATAGAAATTGTGACGTAATTGGTTTTGTGGAATTTTGTAGTCATAATCTTGGCATTTTCTATGCAATTTTATGTGTTGAAGAAATTTAGCTGAGAATCATATTAAAAATTATGTTGAGGCTATGTGCCAGTATTATTGGGACCCACAGATGTCATATTGCTGTGAATTATTTGTTTTATATTGAAAATTTATACTCAGTCATATTCATTTCATTGCATATCATATCTCAGTCTATGTTGTTATTTATTGATACATCATATCATCATTTTGGGTTATTTTCATGACACTGTGAGCCCATGAGAAAGAGACTGGAGAGATTGATGACTGAGTGAGGCCGAGGGCCTGATTGTGAGGATAATTATAGGATCGGGCTTCACGTCGCAGCAGGCCATAGTGGCTTTATATACTTTATTATTATGGGATCGAGCTGCATGCCACAACATGCCAGATTGGCTTATTATAGCACGCGAGTTGTTCGTGCGGATCCAGGTATTGATATTATGGCACATGAGTTGTCTGTGCGAATTATAGCGCTTAGGTTGTAGGAGCCCCTCCGGAGTCTGCACACCCCCAGTGAGCGCAGTCGACTATAAATATGGATCGGGTTATACGCCGCAGCAGGTATTGTATAGCGCTGAGTGGTTGAGTGTGCTGAGCATAGTGAGAGAGAATGCGAGACAGTGAGATTGAGTACTCTGAGAGTGTGAGTACATGAGTACATCTCTGAGATACATTGTATTGATATGCACACATGACATACATGCATAGAGATGTATTTCCCTCATGTTGTACGGTATCACATCATTCATGATTTCTCACGCATGTTGACAGATGGGAATAGTGATGCATTTGTTTTACACTGGATATCTGGAAAGAAAGTGAAATATCTTATTTATTATTGAAAGGATTTTGGGAAAAATTATTGTTTTTAAACTTATTCATATTTCTGGCAACTTCGGTGAACGATTTGGGTATTCATATAAACTTATTCATATTTGGGCCTCGGGTGAGTTTCGGATGGTTAATGGATCAATTTCGGACTTCGAAGTAAAAGCTGAAGGTTCTTCCATCTCATGTAATCTCACTTGCAGAAAATTCCATCGCAGGTGAGAGCTCGCAGAAGCGAGCCTGGCAAGCGCAGATGCAGGCAGAGGGCTGTGAGACAGTGGTCGCAGGTGCGAGAAAAATTTCGCACCTGCGTGAGCGCAGATGCAGAAGGATGCGGGGGATTTTTTCGCACATGTGGTTGGCGCAGAAACGGCCAAGTTGCTGCAGGTGCGAAAACCCCTAGGCAGTATAAAAACAGAGTGGTTCCGAGCTTTTGCCATTTTTGGGCATTTCAAGCTCGGGTTGGGCGATTGTTGAGCAAGGTTTTCACGGGAAAACTTGAGGTAAGTTCTTTGTGATTATTTATACTCCATAATATTGAATTATCATCGAATAATCAGACTAGATTACATATTTTTGAGGTGTAAATCGGGGATTTGAAAATAACATTTGAAGATTTGGAGGTCGAGTTGAGGTCGGA